TCAGCTCGATCATGCATGTAAGTGAGGGACTGACCCCCGACTCAGGTTTCCGTAAGTCACCGCGGTGTTGATCCCAGGCGCCTTATTTCTCGAGGTTGCCCTGTAGATCAGCTGCAGAAGTCGTGCAGCATAAGGCAGATGGCATGCACAGTGCATTCAGAACTATTGATCTAAACACTCTTGCATTTTCGAACAAAATCCCGCTAAGTGCGGCGTCTAATAAAAAGACAAGCATCTCCATACATTCATTCACTGTGGAAGGTGCAAAAATGACAAGGGTACACAAATCGAAAATCAACCGAGGGAATTGTACACACGCATCCACCGTTCACAAGACAAGAGGATCAATTCCTCGACCGCCGGGGATTACCCAGGAAACTAATGGAAGAGTTCCGGAAGAAGTTCCTTCACGCAGAAAAGCATACAAATTCATTCTCATTTACGAGAGGAACAAGCATCAAGCGACATCGTCATTCAACGATAGAAAAGAAAAAAAGAGATGAGGGAGGAAGATCGAGATAGGAGATGACAAGATCCAAAAAAAAAAGGAAGTTCGGCGTTGCCGCCGTACACTCACACCAGAGATAAAGATCCACAACAAGAAAGGCGCATTCGCCGTGAATTTCAATATGGCCCCGGGCCAATCACTCACTCAACTCCAATCATCGATCCTCATACCCGCACCGACGATCCCGGTTGTCGCGTGTTAACTCCCACCACTGCGATCGTCACCCCGCGGACGTAAACTCGACGCGGTTTGCCCAGATCCCACAACAACCATTTCGTCAAAACGGACATATTATATTTTTTTAACGAAATCAAAACTCACTTTTTTTGCCAAAATCCGGTCGAAATTTTTTGCTCTTGGGGGTCCGGCGTTCCCAAAACGCCGGACCCCCCTACATGTATCTGGTCTATGGTTGAGACCAGACTCCCCAGCCTATCGTCAGCCCGACTTTCCGACTCGCACCAAACACTCTGCCTAGCCACTGCTTCTCGGAAGCTGGCTTGGGAGTTGAGAACGTAAGAAAGGTTTGCGGGCGCGTTTGCGGAATTTATAGTGGCGAGAAGGGGGGCGAGGGAGAGAGAAGGCAGGGGGAAAATTGAAGTGTAAGAAAAGAAGCAGGAGAAGAAAGCTTTGAGCATAGTGCTCCGTGGAAGCCATGTTGATCCCTCGAGACTCAAGGTTCAACCAGTCAGATTCGTCGCGCAATAGGACGATCCTATTGATCCACGTACATGATTGGCGAGCGGGAGTTATCGAAGGATCGAGCGGGCGTCATGCGCTGAATTCAGAGGGTGGGAAGGAAAAAGACGCGAGAAGTAGCGCAAGACGGGTCCAAGATTCAGATGATCAAGAAAGGGAAATGGGCGCGCATCCGATGAGAGCGGGAGAGAGAGAGAGGAAAAACAGTTGTGAGAAGGGAGGATGAGAAGGGGGGGGGAGGAGGGAAGAGCGCGGGAGAGAACGATGTGGGAAACAGAGCGGGGGGGGGGGGAAGCTTCGCATGCGTGACGCCGTCAACAAAAAGTAAAAGAAAAAGGCACCGAAACAGTTACATCTTGCCTATGTCCTAAACCAATTCAAAATTGAAATCACCATATCCGCGCGCAAAGAGGACGACGTGGGAAAAGAAAATTCTACGCCTATTCGTATTCTCACAACATTCCGAGAGTTTTCCCCAACGCGACGAGAACATTCACACACAAAAAAAGATACATCGAAGTTCCACTTATCCCGGAATTCCCAACTGCCGGACGCAATTCCCAGTGTGCTCGTTAAGGCGCGTGTAAATTCCCGTGTATTTCCTGAATTGCAAAAAACAGAATTCCAAGAATCAACCAAGCTTTCGACAAAATGGGGGCCAAAAACACGGTACCCAAAATCAAGAAAACAAACGGGGTACTCGTAGAGTCGGTATGGTACAAGAAAAATTTGAGCCAAAGAGGTACGAAAGATAGCACAGGTTCGGGAAGTAGTTCGTCACATATGTGACACGCAGGGGGTTCCAAAATCATGCGATCTCCTGATTGCGTGTCATGGCGGAGAAGGAAAGAGGGGGAAGAGTGATGCATGAGGAACCAAGTGTATCAGCAGATGATCGAGCCAGAGTTCATGTTGACGCCAACTTCAATTGCAACTTCTTGACTGTATGGAAGTTCGAACAAGGGATAGAAGAAGACGGAGCATCAGGAAGAAGCACAAGGAACGATAACTAAGCCGCATGGCAAGATCTCCGCAGCCCTATCATATGCAACCCCCTGTTCTTCGTACTGTAGAGATCGTCCAGGTGACGCCATCATGGTCCGCCTGGTCTCCGTGTGCTCTGCACCCCAGCTCGTCGAGGTTCGTCGAATCAGAGCGTAGGTGGACGTCATTGTCCTTGACGTGATCTTCGCAAAACTTCTAATTCGTGTCGTCTTCTCTTGTCGAAGGGCTGGAGGGAGAGAGTGGGGTTGGGATTAGCGTCCCGTGGGGATGGGGAAGTAGACGCGGTACATGGAGGGGAGTTCACGGGGGCGACAGGGAGGAAGTGGAGGTAGGTAGCGATGTATCCCATCTATCGAAAGTTCCTCATAGCGGATGATTCGGTGAAAGCGGGGGAAGCGATCGCCGCTATGAGGGAGAGAGGCGAGGTAGTCGCGGTAGAGGGAGGAGAGGGTGCGGAAGAGCGCCGCACGAAAGATATCGTAGTGGCGACAGGCAGGAATCGTTCCTGTGGCTACGCAGTAGACTTCTACTACGTTGCACCGTTCCCACACAGCGCTAAACAACAGGATATGCAGACAGAACATGGGGACAGTGGGCTGAAGGGATCGATGGGGATAGACAGTGGCGATTAGACGGGTAGAATAGAAATCTCCGAAGAGATGGGGAAGGAAGGGGTGGCGAGGGAAGGTGACGGGGGTGTGGATCTGTTCGAGGGTGAGGAGATCAAGGGGGGGGCGGGATACCGTCCGAGGGCGAAGGCCTATCGCCCGCATCGGTACGTGGACGAACTGGGGGACGGGTTGGGGTGGAGGGGGAGGGGGATCGACTTCGTCTCCGCCGCGAGGTGCTTGAGGTGGCGGCTACTGGGTCGCCATCTTCAGGCTTTGGGGGCTCGGGATCCTTGGTCGGATCGTCACCGATGTTCAGGCTGGCTCCGCTGGCCAATTCCAACTCGTGTTTCCCGGCGGCAATCTCTTCCCGTCGTCGTGCCACCTCAGGATCGTCCGCTTCCGTGCCAGTACGCGTTGCTTCCTTCGGCAAGGCCTCCCACTCAGATCCTGTTTCTTCCTCCTCTTCTTCTTCGCTCGGCTCGCCCTCGCTGTACTCGCTATAGCTTCCCTCTTCTGACGTTTCATCGTCGCCGTCTTCTTCGCCGTCGTCAATCACCACCTCCTCCGCCTTTGGATAGAAAGCATGATTGATGAGGCCGTACGACTTTAGATATTCCTGCCGCGATGGTAGCGTATCTTCGTCCCCAGGCTCCTCCAAGCACGTGCTCCACTGAAGGTACGGATCCAATGACCGTGCAAGGACGTGCGGGGCGGGACTGTCGTCACTTTGCGAAACGATGTCTAACGAGAGATCGTCCGCCAATTGTACGATCGGCGCGATGAGCTCCTGCGCAATCAACTGGCGGTGGCCCGGTCGTACTGATCCAAAAAGAAAGCCCAGAAGATCGCCCTCCACGTTGGTCTTCCACGCTTGTATGATCAGCAGCTCCACGTTCTCGAGACACGCAGGATGCTCGTCGGTCTGTATCCTTGCCACCTGCACTTGAGCCAAACACATAGACAGTTCGACAAAGGTCTCGCGCCAAAGTCGCCAATGCCCGGGATTGAGAAGCGGGACGGAAAGAGGTTCGATTGTAAGGGAAAGATGAGGATGAAGATCGGACTGCCAGAAGGTAGGGAAGAGAGAGGGGAGACCGAAGATGGAGAGAGGAGTGAGGGGGGCGGCGCGGTTCATCGGGGGCGTGGGAAAGCAACGAAGGTGGGGATCGTAACCGCTGGCTCGCGCGGAGAGAGGCGGACCCCGTCAAGATCAAGCGCAAAGGTCGGGATGAGATTGTGCCCTAGTCGGGCAAGACCGTGCTGCCACACGTTGGACACTTGCTCCGTCCACTCTCGCAGCGAGGTCAGGATCGCGGTATGCCACAGCGGGTTGACCATACTGATGTCGCCGCTGAAGGCCACGACCGTGGTGACGTGGCTCGTTCCCGGAGCCGCTCGCCGATGTACCGTTACCACCTCCGCCAATACTATGGCGTGCTGACTCCCTTCGATCCGAAACGAGGCGGCCGCACACACACCCACGTCGCAGAAGAATTGCGCCAGACGCTGAAGATCCGTACTAAGCCGTGGATGACGAACTTGCCGAATTTTCGAGATGCGACTACGTGGCTGCAACAGTTGATCATCGAGAGCCCGCTCCGTGATGAAACTCATGGCGAGGAAGGGGAGGAAGACGAGGGGCAGGAGGGAGAGAGTGGAGAGAGAGTTAGATCGTCGTCGTTCCCCTCGCCCTCGGAGGAGGAAGAAGGGGGGAGATCAGAGGCAGGGAAAGGTCAGAGGTAGGAGGTATGTCGGACGATGGGGACAGAGCTATGGCTGGCACTAGCCTCGGGCGCGATGCGCACCGTGTTGGCACCGTTGGGTCCGAGCTCGACAACGCGAAAACAACCAGAAAACTTGGGAGCGAGTTTCCGGTCGCGTGCACATTTACGTACCTGCACTAGGTCCCCTAATTTATATTGATGTTGGGGCCCAGCATTTCCATTTCGAGCCTCATAGCTACGGACCTGCCTACCGTGGGCCAGATCGGTCATTCTCTGTCTTTTTCGGGCTAGCTTTTGTACGGCCCATTCCATTAAATCGGTATACCTTTTGGCCTTGGCCTTGAGGGCGGCACGCGTGTCTCTACCCCCTGCCTCGGCAATTTCCGGGTTACCCCGGTAGTCGACACGGGGGAGGCTATTAGTGTGAAGCTGAAAGGGGGTGAACCCCGTGGACTCATTAGGGGTGGCCTGGTGAATTCCGATGATCTGATACACGATCTCGGGCCACAGACGCGTGTCATGTACCGCTAAATTCCTGCGAAGGGCGGTTTTAATCATACGGTTGGCATTTTCGGCCAACCCGTTCGACTGAGACACGTGGGGCGCCGTATGTCGGAGCGTGATGCCCCTTCGCGCGAGCAGTTCCTCTACTTCGCCTTTGAATTTGGACCCATTGTCGGTCAGAATTTCTTCCGTATCTAGATGGGTATAGAGGAACTGATCGATGTACGTGGCTATTTCTTCGGCCTTGTGGGTCTTGCAGGGGTAGACCTCTAGAAGGATAAAATATTCACAGCGGTTTGGGCCAGGTGGCACGTCAATATCTGTCGTGTCCATACTGACTCGCTGGAAAGGGCGTTCTACTTCCGTTGGTACTATTATGTTCGGTCCCCGTATTGGGCCGCGATCAGCGGCACAGACCAGACAGTTGGCGACAACGTATCTGATATCATCTCGTATATTGGACCAGAACCATCGGTTCTGGTTTATAGTTGCCTCCGTGACACGTATCGCGAAATGAGCGGCCTGCTCTTCGTGAGCGGATCTGGTCCAATCATATCTCTGAAATGGATGAGGAACCGTCAACCACGAACCCAATCCGTCAGTTTTGCGCTTCTCCAAATGACCGTTGATCCATCGATAGTCCCGGGATCTCTCGGTAGCCCTATGTCTGTCGTGTTTGGTGAGGTGACCCAATGATAATCCCGCTAATTTAGCTAATAAAATTTTATCCATCCAAACCTCCGCTCGACGATATTTCTCGTCATATTCAGGTCCGTCCGTTCGAGCGGCCTCGAATCGAACCTCTGTGGGAAGTTTGGCCGTTCTACACAGGGGGCACCTCCACTCCTTGCTACTCGTCCGATAGCGAACGCAGACCCCATGTGCACGATTGACACACGTGGCACATTCTACCCAATCGACAAACCCGGTTTCAAAAGGATGACAGTCAACCCCATAAACCCGTGCAATACACGTGCAAAAATAACAGAATTTATCAGGGAGGGTGGCAAAGAAAGAGGAGGAGGTGAGAGGGGCAGAATTAGTAGGAGAAGAGGGGGTAGTCATGATGGTAGGGAGGGAGAAATGAGACTGAATTGTAGGAGGGGCAAAACAAAGAAATGGACCCCGTGTCACTTACTCCTTTGACAGGATTTCCACTTGGCCGTACCGAGACCCGTTCTCCTTCTTCGGTTTGTTCCACGGAATCACCTCCTCATTCTTCGGAACCTTCTCAGGTCGGTGCAGTCTTGTCAATCCGTCCGCATTCCCGTGCCTTTCGTGTTTCCAGTGACGAATGTCAAAGTCCATGCTCTGCAGCACCGTTGCCCATCGCCCGATCATGCCCGAGTAATCCTTAGATTTCTTCAGGGCTAGCAGAGGCTCATGATCGGTTACCAAGGTGAACTTCCACCCGTACAAGTAAGCTCGGAAGTGACTGATTCCCCAAAGAGTCGCGTAGCATTCTCCCGTCGGAGCGGCGTAGTTGCGTTTGCAGGCGGGCACCGATTTAGACGCGTACTCCACCACGCATTCGAGTCCGCTTGGTCCCACCTGGGCCAGGATCGCCGAAATTGCCTCCGACAGCCAGTCAGTAATGAGAACAAAAGGCTTTTCGGGATCCGGCCTTATAAGGACCGAAGTCGAAATGAGAGCGGCCTTGAGCTCCGAAAATGCTCGATCACACTCCGGCGTCCAGATCAACGGTTGATCCTTTCACAGCAGATTCGTGAGGGGTCCCGCAATCACCGCGAAGCCCTTGATAAACCTTCGATAGTACGAGGCCAGGCCCAGAAAGGCGCGAACTTGCGTAATAGTCGTAGGCACCAGCGCATCTCTGACAACTGCCACCTTCTGCGACTCCGGTTTAAGTCCCTGGTCTGTTACCACGTGTCCCAGGAAGGAAATGGTGGTAAGGAAAAACTGACACTTCTCAAACGCCACCTTGAAACCAGCATCTCGTAACGCATGCAACGCCCATTCGATGTGTTGCACGTGACCTTCGTAGGAACTCGAGTACACCAAAATGTCATCCATGTACACAATCACGCAGTAGTTAATGATACTTTGTGCCAGGCGAGTCTTCCGCACAAAGTTATGAAAGGCCATGTTCATGGCTCGCTGGAAAGTTGCGGGAGCATTGCAGATGCCCATCAAACATCGAATTCACTGCCATGTACCTTCAAAAAGTACGAACGCAGTCTTCGGGCGATCTTCTTCTCGAACAAGAAGATGATGGAACCCATGGTGAACATCAAACTTGTTGAAAAATCGAGCACTCCCAAATGCATCCAACAACTCATCAATCCGGGGGAGAGGGTACACATCCTTTATCGTGATATCATTCAACTTCCGATAATCGATGCAAATGCGAATTCCTCCGGCCTTTTTAGGTACAATCACTATGGGAAAAGACCACGGTCCTATAGCGGGTTCGATCCATCCATTAGCTTCAAATTCTTTAATCCGCTGAAAAGCGGCCGCTCTTTGAGCTTGTGAGTACCTATAGGGAACGCAGTTAATGGGTGGATGATCTCCCGTGAGAATGGCATGCTCAATCACATTTGTTAAGCCAATATCATTATCGCGCGCACTCAATACTTCCACATAGCCATTCAAAACGCTAATTAGTGACTTTTGAAGTTCGGTAGGGACGTGGTTTGGGAGGGAGATTGTCGGCCGTCCAGGGATCTGAAGAGATATGTCGACCCAATCAGCCGGTCTTTCTCGTCCCTTATGGACACTGGTGCGAACAGAGAAGACAGTCGCAATCATCTGCGATTCAGCAGGGCTGATCATTTCGGTTTCCTTGGCTTCGGCATCAGTTTCTGAACCGGTCAAAGTCTGTTCCACAGTCAGTCCTGTTAGATCCGTCATCTCCTGCATTAGATCAGGCACGTCATCTATCGGTGCTTCGACTTCCTGTTTAATCAAAGCGATGGTCGCTCCCATCGTTAGTAACGATCTTGGTGGGAAAACGGAAACATCCAAATACAGTTCTGTTTGTTGGTAGCGTGATTGTAGGAAAAGCGCTCCCTCGTACAAGGTGCGAGGGGGTTCCAAATCATTTGCCAGGTCAGATACTTGCAGGATGGGTTCCCCGAGGAGGGATGAAGGACTGATCTGGGTTTCCAGGGGCGCGAACGCGCTGTCTTCCGAATCTATGTGGAAGCTGCGAGCGGTTCTGGGGCGCGCTCGGAATTCTTCGGGGATTTCGTGTTCGAAAAGTTCGACCAGATTCTTTCATTCCTCCTCACTAGGCATTTCCTCTGCGTACACCTGTTCCCCGATTCCGCTACTGAGGTCCGAGGAAGAAGGTTCCTCAGGATCGATGCCTTGAATCATCCTTATTTGGGCCGAGTTAGAATTTCATTTTACGGTCCGGGTGGAGATCCGCAAAGGGACAGTCTGAGGCTTTCCCCCAGTTTGTGTGATCACCAGTTGTTTGGAGTCGAAATGCAGACAAGCACCTACCGCCATTGCGCAAGGTAATCCTAACAACACAGAATAGGAGCGCACATCTAGCACTAGTGCGTTAACAAGGACGTGTACTCGTCCGACCTTCACAGCCACGTTCTCAATGATATCTACAATGTTCATTGCTTCCTCGTCGGCAGAGTCATAATTCTCTTTGCCAGATTGAGGAAGAATGGATCCGAGTCGTCCTGTCTTTCTTACTGTGTCTAAGGATATGGCTACTGCGGAAGATCCAGTATCGATAAGGGCGTTAAATGGCTTGCCCCAAACTTCACAATCGCACTCAGCACTTTTCCATAATACTGGTCAAGCCCGTACGAAATGATCCTTCTCTACTAACGAGATCGCAGCTACTCGTGCTGCTTCGGGTTCGCCCGTTTCAGGTTCTGGCGGCGCAACATCCTCTTTTTCCTCCTCCTTCGTTTTTAACATTCACTGTACGCGCTGGTACGTGAAGCGCTTTTGATTCTTCTGACATTGTTGTAACAGTTTGTCGTTTGCAGCTTCAGATATGGTGAGCAAGTGTCCCACCGGAATCGGAACACAGATATCTAGCTGCTTGAGCGCTCGTAACTCATCGATTTCGCCCGTCCTAAACTGTGGACCGGGATTAGAATCGCGATCGACCCATTCAAGATCATCAGGGGGTCAATCGGATCGCCCCGATCATGCCCGCTAGGTGAAGATACTCGAGTGGATCGACCACGTCAGCAGCTTCAGAGGAAGAAGATCCCGATGTTGACGCTATTGCCGTTGAGAGGGAAGATTGCTCATATGCACGAGTTCTCCTCCTTGGGCCGTGTCCATCAATGTGGCCATTCGTCCTTGGTTTAGAGCAATAGGGGCCGCAACTGGCGGGGGTTTATTCCGTTTTGGCTGCAGACAGTCCCGGGCAAAATGTCCGGGCTGTTTGCAGTTAAAACACTCGATCTTTCCTGCTGGATTAGCCGGGTGAGGGAACTGTGGTGGATAGCCAGGTGCAGGCGAGGCAGGCAAGAGAGGAAATGACGTAGGGGCAGGTCGAGCAGGGGCCGGGTTGGGCTTAATTAACCTGCTCATTATTTGTTTCATTCGATCCATGTGAGCTGCCTGCATTTGAACCAGGTTGCTCATCCATTCAGATTGCTTAGCAGTGGCCGTATGGATCATTTGGGCAAGATGTAGGTTTGTTACGGCCGGTGAGGGAGGTTCGTGGGAGATTCTGCTCTTAACTGCCGCTATCGGTTGATTCGTTGGGGGAGAGGAAGAAGAAACAGGCGGGATATCGGAAGCGATCCTGTCAGGAAGGTCATGGTCGGGGCGGGGATAAAACCGTTCAAGCGCCCGCAACCATGATCGTCTTTTAGCCGCTACATCCTGTATGGTATTTGTAATATCTTCGTTTCCCTGACTTATATATTTTCTTGTATCAGCCAGGTCCAGTTCCAACGCTTTAGCGATGATATCAGATAGCTGGTGTGTCTTCGGCGGGACCTTTTTCTGTAACTTCCCTTTCAACGTCGGACTTCGTAGATGATCAATGAACAAATCTCGAGCGGACTTCTCGTCTCGCCCAGATTTGTCCAACGTGGTTTGAAATCTATCCACGAAATCGGGTAGCAATTCCCCTGGTCCTTGTGGCCGAGTTTTGAGCACGTACCAGGCGGCATCTTCACTGACCGTATCGAATCGAGCCAAGAATGCTTGTTTGAAAGTATTCCAATCTACCCATGTATGTTTTCTAAACCAGTCATGCGACGTATTACGGAGTAGCAAGGTAAGAACGCGGGGAAGATCGTCCGCGTTATAACCTTGAGCTTCAACGGCTTCCAGCCAAGCTTCGGGGTGGGTATGGTTAGGGAAGAAGGGGAAACGGGCAGCAATGCTAACGATCACCCTATTACCGTCTACCATTGGTATAGCCGATATAGCCGTACCAGATATAGATCTGGTCACTGGACGATCTCGGCGAGCGGGTGGGGGACTTCTTCTACCTCTCGCCAGTTCGACTTACTGTCATCAGAACCGACATGTGTCGGCTCCGATACCAACCTCATGCTATGTGTTGTCTTTCGTTCGGAGTGCTAGAGGTGCGAAAAAGGGGCCCGGAAAAACAGCAAGATGGGGTGTGTCAAGGATTTTTGGAAATTGAGTGTGGGGACACAGACGAAACTGAAATCCCCCGTGTTGGTCCGATGAGGTAAGTCGACCGTTTTTTGCGCGTCGCAAAAATGCGCGCGGGAGCTCGGCGCGAAAGGAGAGAGAAAGACAAATTCAATCCAAAAACTATTGTCGGACTTCCCACCGTGTTGCGGCCCTTCGTTTAGAGCAGAAAGGCTTCGGCACACTTCGCGTGTCTCGTCTTCGTATTAAGTTCCGACGTCGTTCACCAGTCAGTTCTGAGTCCGACGTGGAGGGTCGCAGTCGTGTGGCTCTTTCTCTGTGTTCGTCTTCACTCCGTACGCGGTAGTGGAAACCCTTAGATTCGTAGCGCTCAAAGCGCTGGCATTCGGTGCATAGAGTGCGAGGCCAGTGGGGTTCTACTGCCGTCCACGGGNTTTATACCATAATGTAGCCAACTCCACAATGTTTATCACCATCGCCCTTCCGAAAAGTGGTGCGTGTTTGTGGTTCCATTGGGACAGCCTAGCCATAGCAGGGGATGTAAGCCAATCATCGTTTTCCGCAGGGCGGCCCTGTGCTGTAATCCTAACCCCAAGAACCCAGATCGCTATGTCGGAGGCCACCCATGTCACAGTAGGTATTTCAGGCGGTCTCCCCCCTTGCTGGTGTAGCCACCAACCAAGTGTTTTCTGCCCCCAGTTGGACTACCATATCTGACAATGGGCAGAAACGGTCCATGAGTCTTTGGATTTCCTCCATATTTCGATTTGACGCTTCCATCATTATTGTTAAGTCATCCACAAATAGGGAGCAAACCAGAATAACTTCCCTTTGTATGCCCATAATCC